AATTTGGAACTTCACCTCCAACAGAACTGAGGCAGAAAAAAAAGAATGTAAAAGAAGACATGGAAAAAAATATAAAGAAACAGCCCAATTAACATGAAATGCATTGATAGCTTAGATGTTGGAATTAAATACAGAAAAAATTATGCTGCATTAAATTAGAGAAAGTAAATTAATTGGATATTTCCAGATATACAAAATGGAAATTAAAGTAAAAACATGAAATTATGTCTGATCAATCAGTCGCTTTTATGTGTTGGTTGATTTATGTCTGCTTTTATTCTTATCCCTCACACTTGAAGTCCAGCTTTATGTAGAAACCCCTGTCCAAAAAGTCAGTTTGTAAAGATTTTTAAAAGACAAACGCTCTGTCTCCTCTGTCCTCCAGGCAGCGGACAAATGGAAGAACCACTCCATCAATCTGGGCTGGATCTTTTCGGATTCTCGTCGAGTCCCTGAACGCCTCCTGTCCTCCTCCATCACTCAGACGCCACCGAGCTGCTCTGGGGCTGAGCTCCAGCCAGAGTTCCTGCTCTGGTTTCCAGCAGAGCTCCGTCAGATTTGGTCCCCGGCCGGTGGGAGAGCGGCGTTTATCTCAGAGGACGTCCACAGAGCCCACGCTAATGTGTTCTCACCTGACAGCAGGCGGGCGATAAACCCCCCCTCGGACCGCTTCAGACCAGCTAACTGCAGCATGAATAATTCATGGAGAAACATCTGCAGATGAAACCAGAGACACCTTCAGAAACACGGAAGAGAGCCATAAAATAAAGTGTAGTGTCTGAAGCTCACAGTGAAGCTCAGACTGTTCTGTTCGTGGAGCAGAAACACTGGAGAAAACATATTCCTAAAGCAGAGCGTAGGGAGGATGCTCAAGCTATGGAGACGGCCTGAAAGAGGACAATAAAGGAGATGTTCAAGATAGGGACCAGGTAGACCCTAGATCAGGGGTGGGCAACTCCGGGCCTCGAGGGCCACTGTCCTGCAGGTTTTAGAGGTTTCCCAGCTTCTGCACACCTGATTCAGATCAAACTGATCTCTTCTAAAGCTGCTCCAGCTCTGAACAGGACTGCTGATGTTGTGTTGATGTGAATCAGGTGTGTAGCAGCAGGGAAACCTCTAAAACCTGCAGGACAGTGGCCATCGAGGACTGGATTCAGCTATGTGAGATGAACGTGGTTTAGACCCTCATGAACCCTTCAGAGGGCTTCTTCTGCTGTCTGGGATCTGTGGCTGTCACTGAGGACCAGCCTGTAGGGCTGAAGGCCCGTTTGCATTTGGAGGCTGAAGACATCAAGTCAAATGACACATTTCTCCGGTGAAGGATGTTAAATGAGTGGAAGTAGAGTCCCTGTTCAGGGATCTGAACGAGCCCGGGTGGAGTGGGAGGGGGGCTGAGGTAAACTCACTCCAGATTGTGTTGCATAGGATTCTGTTTCATGTTCAGTGTTATGTTAATGCTCCGTGTACATGATTCAAAGGGGTTTAAAGGCCATGCATAATGAATGTGGGTTCAGCTACTGGGGCTTCTCTCTGGTAAAAAACAAAGCCTTTCCCTGTAGTTTAACCCGCTTCCCCTGTGTGAACCTCCTCCCTGGAAAGTCGTGTCTGACAACAGTCTGACTGAAATACACCCTGAGCTTTGACCACTGGCTGTTTAAAGCTGGAGGAGGCTAGGGTTAGGGTTAGGGTTAGGGTT